ATATTACAAATTACGCAATCAAAGTACATCGGCAGATAGCCATAGGCAACAGTTTTCCTCGGGAATTTTTCCGAATATTTTCATAATTTTCCAACTTTTATCGCATTTTCAGCCGGATGCTCCCCTTAACTGGATTGTGAGAAGACTTCTTCACATCTATCTTGGTCAATGCTATACATGGGAACAAATACAGGATGACATGTTGCCATTATCCTCATTTAGTATAATTTTTTCCCCTCCACAACTGGTTTGTAAAAATTTGGGATAATATTTTATAGTTCTTTCAAGAGAGTGCACAGTATTATATGTGACTTGAAAATTTTAATTAGAATCAAAAGTGCTTGAAACTAACACCAACGTTGGCCATGACAAAAACTGGTAAACCTGATTAAAAGTCATAGAAAAGAAAAACCTACAGCAGGAATCTCATTACATCAATATGAATTAAGTTTTCTCTTTTGAATGTTATTCACTGGGGGTATCTGCTGGCTTTCTTTAACATTATTGCAATTGAACATAACAAATTTACAACATAAATAACAATAAACACCAGATATTATACACTGAACCTGTTTTATTCATGGCAAATGTACAACATTCCAGATTAATTATGGGTTAAATAGGGCTGTAAGGGGTTTCTTGAGAATTTTACCACTATTTATAACACTGTGCCAATGACAAATTGAGTTCCGAGTTCCAAATGAACGACTTACAAATGAGATTTTGGAATGTAACCTGTTCATAACTTGGGGACTTGCTGTACAGGTACAATATTAATCAATTAAAACAACAGTCATAGCTTTACCCCATGATATCCAATTGTTTAGAAAAATTTGGGATCTGAGGAATACGAGTGTTTGGTGACCAATGTCAACAAATTAACAAATCAAAGGTGGCTTTATCAAATTTTTGAGACTTCTCCCTGTTTAGAGTACTGCACCTTACTAAGTGTACAGTGTATCCTTTGGAACCCGGTCTGAAAGCGAAGGATAGTCTTATTATAAAGCTGATTCAGGTCTTAGATCACAGATAAAAGATGAGGCCCTCATGCCTAGGATTACAACCTCTAAACTTGCTGACTATAAAGAATTGCACATTCTCACACTACAGTAGGCTATACTGTATGTACATGAATGTCCCATGTGAAACTGCTCAAATTTAATCAAATGCACAGTCAGTACCTCAAGACACTGTATAATAAAGTGTAAAAGTAACACTTATCATTCTCAGGATGCCCACACACTGCCCAGGAAGGTAGATTTTGTTGTCACAACTAAATGGCAGGAAATGTATGGATCAAAGCAGTCAACTCGGCTATGACTGTGGGGTCAAAAGCACATGAAGTCCTGCTCAGAGTCCAAAACTCACTGACCTGAAGCCTCAACAGTTCTGAAACAACTGCCAAATTTGTGATCAGTGCTGATTTAACTGGGTAAAATGGTTGTTAACAGCATAAAATTGTTCTTAAGTTCTGCCATTAAGCAGTGCTCACTGCTCAAGGCAATTGATGGGCTCTGATGTGGGATGCTTTGTGGTGATAGATCTCATAAGTCACTTATAACAACGCTTAGTCCATAAAATATTGTATTAGATAACTAAATGAATGGAAACAGTGATATATTACAATGGAGAACCGCAGCAGTATAGATGCTGCAAAATGAGCCTTGTCAGTAAAGTGCAACAAGCCATCATTGGTTCATCTAATGTAGTCCTCTTATGAGCAACTATAACCAGCCAATATATGTACTTTGTATCTTGTAATGCCACAAAATCTTACATTTACTGTACAATATTCTCCGTTCCACCTTCAGTCAAAATCAATACCACCAGTATGCTATAATGAATTTTTTCCCAATATACTGTATGATACTGTCCCAATAGGGTGTGTCATACGGAGGCAAATTTTTTTTTTTTTTTGAAAAATCGGCCCATGGTATTAATGATGTAGTTCTATGTGCAGAATCATGTGATATCTTCAGATTTGAAAAGTTTTCATTTTTTGCTAGGTAAATTTTAACTTGAAATCTTATGAAAATTCAGTATTCCCACCCTTTTACCAACACCACTAAATAGCTTATTTAAAGTAAAGTAAATGTATCAGGTTAATTTATTAGGATGAAAATGATCCAGAATAGTGAAGCGAATGATCTTGACACATTTATTAAATTTAATATTCCTTTAGAAAACAAAATCATCAAATACAAAAACCGGTTTTACTACTACGACCCGGTGTTGCTGCACACCATAGAGAACATGTCTTTCTTGCTTCTGTTTCTACTCATCACCTCCTGCTGACCACCTGAGCTCGGATGTAGCCTTCCCTCCTCTCCTGGCTGTACACGTGACTGCTGGCCTCGCTCACTTGCTGTACACAACGCTCTATACTCTGGGTGTCCGAGGGCCAGGCAGGGACATGCATGGGGTTGTCCAGGAAAGCTCTGACTTGAACATTGGTGAGGCTGCAGGTAAGAGGGGGCTCACTGCCAGCCTGGATGTTATCCAGATCTATGAGATCAGTGAGGGTCTTGGCACCTAGATTGACTTCAGGAGTCTTCCTGACCCTGAAGGAATCGTCACCAACTGATTCGTCATGCCCAGATCCTCTCATAAGTCTCATATCCAAGATCTTTTTGACTGCCACTCTTCTCTCCTCCTCATCCTTACTGCAGAGCATTGTCTGCAGAACTGCCTCGGGATGAGCATACCAGGAAGATCTCCTCACAGTCTGCTCCACAATCTGAACAACCTTCCTTGGCTGACTCCTCAGGAGCTCAAGCTGGAAGAGAACATGCCTCGGACCTTCGGAGAGCGATGACTTGACCTTGGTGTTGAACCAATTTGGCAAGTAGACACTCCGATGAATTGGACAATAAGTCTCAGGTTGTGAAGCTGGTTCCCTTTCAGTTTATGATGAGCGACCCAAATTCTGCAGAACCTGAGAGCCGTTGTGAGCCACCTAGAATGTGAGACTGGACCTATCTGCAGGTAAGCAAGTCTATCAGGCATGACCCCAGTTTTGATGGCACTGCAAATCATGTAACCATAGTACTGGTCAGTACTCAGGTCGTCAATGACAGTATGTGCAAGCTCAACGAGTGGAGGGCCAACTGTGATTTTTTCAAAGCTCGGATTTATTTCTAACTCAGTGGCAGAGTCCAGCATCTTGCCAAGAGGACCAGACCATCTGTTGTTTGAAAGAGTCTTGCCATCCAGCTCCTGGATCAGATGTCTGAGTGGCAACTCGTTGGTGTGGAGGTCACAAACAATCCAGACCAGCTTCTTCCCAATCTTCCGCTCTATCCACTGTATGACCCCCCCTTGCCACCCTGTGTTCGTGTTGGTGCTGTCCCCTCCAATGGCCTGCAGGGTCTGGTCTACGTTCCTCTCTCTGAGCCAGTTCACAATGTTATCTGCCACTATCTCAGCTGGTTTCCTGATGTCATTTTTCTCTGGAGTGAAATGCCACAAATACTTCCCTCCTAGTTCACTGCAGCAGGAGTAGTGTTCCTCCTTCACCATGGCAGGGAACAACTTGTCAGAATCTCCAACTTTCATGAACACTTTAGTGTCATCCTTTCTCCCATCAAAGGACAAACAATTGATTCCATTTTCTCTTATCCCCTTATCAAACTCCTCTTCTAGGTTACTGACAAGTTTCTCCTGAGCTCTCCTTACTTTGTTATGATCTATCACCAGGTGAACATCATCAGGTGTTATCAAACCACCGTCAATCCAGGCAGCTGTTGCTATCTCTGCAGTTTCTCTGGGGTCCAGTGTGGTGTCGCATGCTGGCCAGAAGCTATGCTAGGGATATCTTTCCTATTTCGAATCTTATGCCTGGAAGGTTGGGATCATTATTTTTCTGGGTTAGGGACAAAGTCACCATTCTCCTGGTCCTTTTCGGATCCAGCCATGGGGAAATCATTAAACTCTGAATCAGCGGCTCCAATCATCGGCTTTTTACCTCACCCTGGGCCTTCTCCAAATTCTCTTTTCATAAACCCAACTCTTCTCCTCTTCTGTCTCTCTGTGGCAGCCTCCTGTCTCTTGGACTCGGAATAACAGCTAGAAATCATGTAGAGAGCCCCTATACTGCCAGTCTTCTCTCTCCTGACACTTTGACAAAATGCCGAAAGTTAGATCCTGGGAATCTTCAGTTCCGCTTGCAAATACAGGAGATGTGGGCCTGGGATTTACAGTCGCGATCGCATCCAAACTCGGACCAGAGAACAATTGGGCACTTGCAAGTAATTATATCCAAATAACTGAATTCGGTTGCTTGGCAAAGCTGTCATAACTGCAAAAAGGTTTTCCCTCTACAAAGAGATATCTTACTTTTCCCCAACTATTTCTTGATCTCTCACTAATCTTCTTCTGACTTGTTATGACTGGGCTTGAACTGGCGTTAGCCAGGAAATTGTACCATACCAAGACAGCTTTGGTCACATCACTGGCAATGTCTTTGTTTGTGTAAATTCTTTGGTTCTTTTCACTGATTTGCCTGATTAAAACACCGTATCTCAAAGCATCTCTCAATGTAGGCAACTCCGACTTCAGGAGCTCTCTCCCAGACCCAAGATAGTGACTGAGATGGCTGGATTTTTGGTTCCTCGTCCTGACACAAGCAGCCATCGCAAATATTATCAACTTATAAATGCATCAGAATCTGAAACAGAAAAAAAATATTGTTAGTTGGGTTGTTAAAGAATGAAGTCAGAAAGCAATGTTCACTATTTAATTGTAATGCACTAATGCAGCTGTACGTTAGATTTTCGATAAATTTCACGCTAAAATTTACCTAGCAAAAGGTTGCAAAATATTGAAACTGAAATTATTTTCTGTTTATATACACTAAAATCTACCAAAAAAGTGATGGGCCATTAGTTTTAGCTGATCTTCCCTCCTATGACACACCCTACTGTCCCAACATTCCCATCTTATATTGAAGAGCATGATTACCGGTACATCACACATTTTTTATGCTCTTTACTGCATCTCACCTTCACGGCCATGATTGTGTTTGATGGCCTGTGTCTCATTTTTTCCACTACACCATATGCCCCACGTCCTAATTCTTTCAGTAGTTCCAGGTCATCAGCCGAGACTTCCACATCCTTGCCATCCATGGTTATTGTTGTTCTGCTGTCCAGGTCCCGTGGAGGTCCCCTATATTGATGAAGCTTATCAATTATCTTTAAGAAGGTTACTCTTAAATGAGTTAGTATGTTAATTAAGTACTGCATAGCATTATGGTGATGATTGTCTTATTTCTATTTACAGACTCTCTTGATCACCCTTTCAGTACCTCAGCCAAATTATAATTAATTAAAGTACATTTACAGCAATGGGAATACTGCAAATATGAAGAAACTGTATTGTTACAGCACCATTATTAAAACTAAGACACAACACTTGTCACATTCTTTCTAGACTTTCTTCAGAAGTTATTTTGAAGATTTCTTCATTGGTTATACTCTGTTTACAATCTGAGCTACATATTCCTTATAAACCCACATTTTCCTACATTATAGTAAGGAGATGCATGCATAATCTTAACCTAGCTTTTTTGATTACTGACAATTCATACACTTTTCAGCAGAGTTGTAAAGTAACCAAATAAATTGACTTGAGTACTGTACTTGAGTAACATTTTTGGGTATTTACTTTTTAAAATGTGCTCAAACTTTTCATTACTTTTACTTCAGTATGGTTTTTTAATACTGTACTTTTACTCCAATACAATTGAAAAAATAAAAAAATTAATTTGTTACGTGCAAACTATTAATACATTTTTTAAATGAATGAATGAATGAATTAATTATTAACCATAGTAAAAGAGTTGTGTGGGTGGAGCCGTGAAGGGTACAGTGTGGGTGTAGGGAGACACCACGCGGTCACATACCTAGAGGTCTCGTGAGGTGAGGTGAGGTGAGGTGAGGTGGTAGTGGCCATGACAGCGGACTTTCCCTTTGATCTTCTTGTGCCCATCAGCACCTTGACCACTCACCTCACCTAGCCTACCCTCTTATTCCCCCCCCCCTCTTCCCCCCATCAAATCCCCTCTCTTCTCCCCCACCTTTCTTTCAGGGGCTTTGTCTTCCGATAGATGTCAGTTTCTCTTTGCATATACCTGTACCTAAAATGAATTTCAAAGAGGGTATGATTCTTAAATACTTTACATAATTCCATCTTAGATATAAAGCCTGTATTAATACATATGTGTGAGACTGAGTGTATTTAAAATTCTGCTAAAATAACTAAGCACCACTGCCCCCCCAAGCACTCAACAGATGTTATGTGGTGCGGAAAATTCAGCCACTCATCAATTAGAATCGAAAAGTGATGTCACCACAGCCACACAACTTAATCACTATGGAGATAACAATCATCCACCAACTCCTCAACTGAAGGAACTTGATAGCAACTTGGCATGCCCAGGGGATGGAATGGAGCTACTGAGGTCTTTCCTGACATTGTGTGACTTATCTCTCAAGTTCAACACCCCACTGCCTGCACCTGTTGTTTATGAGCATGTTTAGTCTTACTGGGTTTATTATTTATCTAATTAATTTATTACACCCCAGGGGGTGACACTAATACACTGGTACTCATGTCTTGCAGGATACGCTATGACTTGTGATGTCGAAGTCAATATTGATATGATTTGAGGACAATGGGAATTAGCACCCACCAAAGCATGGGTAGTGTACAAGAATTAAATCTAAATTATTAGGAATAAGTAGTTGGTGACTTGTCCTGTGGTAGGAGGTCCTTGACTGCGGAACAGTCACAGAGTTTACATGAGGAAAAGTGCGGGTCATCCCATACCTCAGATACTTGCCTAACCTAATGCGAGCAAACACATTGTCTGTGGACCATAAATCCCTGTTGACAATACCCAGTACTTGTGTGGATAGGGAAGAAAGTGATTAGAGTGTTGGATGGATATATTTTCAGCCCATTCATTATTCATGTGGTAGATTGTAGGGAGAAGAGCGGCTGAACATATTCTGTTTCGGTAGGTTATGCTGGGCTTAGGACTAAAAGATCCTGATTGGACAACCATAATTTTGAGAATCCGTTACTGTATTGATTAATCTCAATAGAAAGATTTGCAAATAAACTTATGTAATGGTGTGTCTTTTATCTTTAGTTAACTAGTTTTTTATAGTTTATTGTGGATTTTATTATAATATTTGAGACAATATTTTGTTGTTACTTTTTACCTTCAGTACTTGAGTACTTTATTAATAAGATATACTTTTTTTTACTTCTACTTGAGTATTTTGAACTTTGGATGCTTCCATTTCTACTTGAGTAACATTTTGCCAATGTAATAATACTTTTACGTAATTAACAAAGTCCGGTACTTTTACAACTCTGCTTTTCAGTAACAAACACGCAAAAGAGTAAGCCTTGAAATATTCTTTGAAGAATTTTATGAAGCAGAGAGGATATCAATGTTGAAGATGATTTTGTATCTGTTTAAACTAGTGAAAAATGAAAAAAATATACCTGTATATATATTGGAGGCTGCCTCAGAAAATATATACAATAAGACAAGTGTTGACAAAGACACATAAATACATCCATCTTAAAGTTCAGTATACAGTACCTGTATACATGAAAAGTATCATTAGCATGTAACAACTAAAATTTAAGTTTTTGTACATTTATTTTTTACGGGATTAGCCCACCTGGGCACAGGTCACTGACCCACATCGGGGCCTAGGGGGCAAAAATTTAACAATAACAATAATAATAATAATAATAATTCATAGTAAATAAAATTTATAATAAAAAATAGAGTAATTAAATAATAATAACACTAATAATAAAGAAATCCAAAAATTAAAAAAAATATAGTGAGAAACAATATATGTATGTTGTGTTGTCAAAGTAAGAGAAACAATTGAGGAGAAGAACCAAGAGGTAAAAGGAGCAGTGGTCATCGGAGCTCTCTTGGATTCAGGCAGCAACCAATCATCATACTGCACGCGTAGCCTAGCTAACCGGCTGCAGGCAGAGGGAAGGCCAGTTTCCCTCTCCATTGGCACAATCATGAAAGAAAGAAATAGTGTAAATATTGAAGAGATATGTCTAAAAGTGGCTAGCATAGGAGTAAGAAAGAGCCAATCCATCACTATCCCCAAAGTTATTGTTTTTGAGAATCTACTGTCTTCTCTGAGAGTGTCAGTCGCAGACACCCAAGATGTCACCATGCAGGAACACCTCCAAGGTACTGCGCTATGCCAAGCACCAAAAAGAGTGGATTTCCTGATAGGTCTGGATGTACCACAAACACTAGCACAGTTAGAAGTAAGGACCAAGAAGGACAGGGAGTCGTTTGGAAAGACGAGCCGTGATTATGATGTGATCAACCACTTTGAGAGAATGGCAACACCGAATTCGGAGACAAGTTGGGCACTTCTGGGAATGCGACTCCGCCTGCAGTAACGATGATCCCGTCGCTGTCGAAGACAGAGAGTTCTGATGCAGTGGTCAACATCAATTACTCAAGTGGACTGACACAACCAACTTCCCATCCCGTTTCACCTTGAAGAACCAGGACTCCCAGACAATAAGATGCTTGCCGAACAATGATTGGCGGGACTGAGAAAATGCCTCCTAAAGAACCCAGGGCTCTCTCAGAGGTATCAAGAAGAGATGAGACGTCTAATCGACGAGGGACATGCTGAGCGAGTCCCACGTCAAAAACTCAGTGTTGCACCTGGGAAGACCTGGTATCTCCCACACCACCCCGTGTTGAATCCCAACAAGCCAGAAAAAGTGAGAATAGTTTTTGACTGTGCAGCCGAGTATGAGTCGATGTTATTGAACAGCCAGGTGATGCGAGGGCCAGACCTTAACAACAAATTGATGGGAGTCCTCATCAGATTCAGACAAGGAAAGGAGGCACTCATGGCTGATATCGAGGCAATGTTCCACCAAGTGCGAGTAGTACCCGAACATCGAGACGTCCTATGATTCCTATGGTGGACGCACGACCAGCTGTCAGGAGCCCCCTTCACTTACCAAATGACAGGACATTTCTTTGGAGGTGTGTGGAGCCCTTCATGTGCCGGGTATGCGCTACAATGAACATTCCAAGATTACGGGGAAAGTCTCCATGATGACATCAGGAAAGCGAATCGTAACTTCTACATTGACGATCTGCTTCTCTCAGTAGATTCGCCGGGAAAGGCAACGGTAATTACCCATCGACTGAGACAGCTGATGAAGAAGGGCAGATTCAGACTTACAAAGTGGATCTGTAATCACAAGGAAGTCCTCAAGGCAACTCCACGGACAGAGAAAGCCGCGGGAGTAAAGTAAGTAATTTTGAAAGCCGACAGGCTCCCCACTGAACAAGTGCTGGGAATCTTGTGGGACCTAGAGAAAGACGAACTCACGGTCCGGGTCCAGATCCCTAAGAAACCGGAGACAAAACGAGGCCCTCTGAGTATGGTCAGCTCCATATATGACTCACTGGGACTCATCACTCTGAGCGTCACAAGAGCCAAAATTATATTCCAAGATGAGTGCAGACGAGGTGTTGGGTGGGATGAAGGAATGGCTGAACAGAATAGGGTGGCTTGGCGAAGATGGCTAGATGAACTTCCTCACCTATCACAGGTGCACGTTCCACGGTGCTACCGACCCGAGGATGCAAATCCAGTAGCTGCCGTGCAACTACACCACTTCTGCGATGCCTCCCAACAAACGTATGGAGCTGTAACTTATCTGAGGACCACGTGTGAAGATGGAACTCACCATATCTCCTTCGTGTGTGGCAAGGCCAAGCTCGCCCCTCTGAAACAGCAGACCATACCTCGACTCGAGCTTTGCACGGCAGTACTGGCTACCAAGGCAGACAAACAACTACGGCGAGAACTTGACTTACAAATAGACAGATCAGTGTTCTGGACAGACAGTACAGCAGTCCTTCAGTACACACGAATCACCAAAAGACGCTTCCATTCCTTCGTGGCCAATCGAGTGGCAAAGATACATGAGGACTCCAATGCAGAACAATGGCGTCACGTGAAGTCGGCATTGAACCCAGTCAACGACGCTAGTCTTGGACTACATGGAGCCGAGCTCAACGAGGAGGGCAGGTGGATTCGGAGACCTGCTTTCCATTTGTTGGAAAAAGACAGTTGGCC